GTCATAGGGAGTCTTGAGGGTAAAATACACAGTTTCCTGGGAGGTACCTTGCAACAATCAGAACATTTGCTTCTCAGATGAAAGATTGGGAGACGCAGCGCACTGCCAAGACGGATTTCCAAGGCTGAGTGGCTCCTGATTGAGTTCATTTGTCTCTTCACGAGAGGCAGGTAGCTACTTAGGAACAGTTGTCAATGGTTTCCTACTCCTAATCTGATTCAAACCTGAAGGCATCTAGGGCAGAATAGCAGGCGCGTGGACTACCTGGCAACCTGGTGAATACCTCGAGCATCCGCCCTCTTCTCTGCCTGCATGCTGGGCGCCTTGGGCACCTGCTTAACTGCTTTGTGTTTCAGTTTCCTCTTTGGTGAAGTGGGGAGTCAAGGCGTCAGTCACCTCATTGACTTACTGTACAGATGAAATAGTTTAGCATATGTGAATAGTTCTTGGAAGATAGGCATTTCACAGATGTCTATTTTATTTTTAAAAACTTTCCATTGGCCTTAGCAGTTCATGTTTTGCTAAAGCGTTAGGCCTCCTGTCACTTGATTCTTCTACCTGAGGTAAGAGGGAGGAGGTAAAGAAGGTCATTTTACTGGCAGGGAACTGAGACCCAAAGAGGCGAAGCAATTTCCTCCAGCTGCAGTGGCTGCTCAGGGAGTCTTCATCCAGTGCCCAATTTTGCATCCTCTTCCCAAACTTTCTCATGTGGTGGAGGGACTGCTGTTTCTCCAAATGGTTTACAGAGAGGATTTCATTTGTTTCAGGCCTTCTACTGCTCTCACTTGATGTTTATTATCCCCCTATTGAGAGGTATGTTCAAAGGCTTTTCTAGTTCATTGAAACTGCAGGCCGTAAAGCAGACAAAATAAGCGTTCTTTATTACGGGCCCAGGGCAGACAGATGCATGCCCTCGATTGTTTTAAAGCTAACAATCAAGAGTGGTAACTGTGCTGGCCCAGTAAAATTTCCTGCAGGAAGGAAAGAAGATGAAAGAGACACCAACTCAGGCTGTAGAAGGTGCCAGATATGCCGGAGAGGTAAGGAATTGACTGCCCTGGATGTGTAGAAGTCCCCAAACAGCTCTACATAAGACTGCACACATAGCAGTGTTTCATCATGACCCAGAGGAAAGTCACTTCTTAACGTTTAATTCTATGATCAGAAAGTAAAATGCTGACATCCTAAGTACTGTATATATAGCCCAGTGCATTTTTTCCCAAAGCTTTATTGGGGAACGATGTGGGTTTTTTTGGGGGAATAATGTGTTTTTCCAGGACGCATCAGCTCCAAGTCAAGTTGTCCTTCAGTCTTAGTTGTGGAGGGCGCAACTCAGCTCCAAGTCCAGTTGTGGCTTTCAGTCTAGTTGCTGGGAAGCACAGCCTACCATCCCATGTGGGAATCGAACCGGCAACCATGTTGTGAAGAGCACGTGCTCTAACCAACTGAGCCATCCGGCCACCCACCGGTGGCTGCTCAGCTCAAGTTGTCTTCAGTCTAGTTGCGGGGAGTGTGGCTCACTGGCCCATGTGGGAATTGAACCGGCAACCCTGTTGCTCAGAGCACACGCTCGAACCAACTGAGCCACCGGGCTGGCCTAGCCCAGTGCATTTTTACATATGCGTGTATCCATGCAACTGCCACCTAGTGAAAGCTATAGAGCATTTCCAGCAGCTCAGTGGGCTTCCTCGTGCCCCCTCCCCACCTCTGGTAACCCTTATTCTGACTTTATTACCAGAGATTGGTTTTGCCTTTCTTAAAGTTCCCACAAATGGAATCACACCGTATAAACTCTTTTGCATCTGGCTTCTGTCACTCAACATGATGTCTGTGAGCCGTATCCAGGTTGTGGCATATAGCAGTTAATGTGTCAAGACACATTTTTTTAAACTAAAAAAGTTCAAAATTGTCAGCCATTTTCAGGATGGAAAGCATTGGATGTGGACAGCTTTATAAAATGAACTTTAATGAGGCTTTTGAAAGAAAAGATGGGAGTTTGAAATTCGGGTATACTGGGAAGAACCCACGCGGGCAGGAATATGGACAAGACATCAGGGAATGTGGACCTGGCCACGCAGATGCAGTTAAGGATTGGGATGGAGGAGAGGTGGACCGTTGGGGAGGTGGGTGGGCAGGAGGCCTATGATGTCACAGCTGGTGGAATGCCCAGTCTGCACAATTCCTCTCCCATGGTGTCTGTATTGGTAAGTCCTTACTGGTAAATACGCATGTGAAGTCCTGCTGTCTGTCACCCATCCTGGTGCAAGTCACACAGAACCATACATGTTAGGAGCTGTGGCAGGGTTCCTAGAAGACTGGCCGGAACCCAGTACCTAAAGCTCCAACAGCCATTGACATCTCTGTGATATTGGCAACAATTCATCATTGAAAACTTGTATTAAACATATAAGATAAACTCAGTATAAATTAATCTTCCCATAATTGACATATATTGGCTTTTTGGGAAAGTCATGACGCATTTTTGCATTGAAAAACAGAAAAATACGTCATGACTTTCCCGACAACCAAATGTATACATATATATGATGGGATTTTTATCTTATTTACCTGTGCGTGTCTATAACAGGGGTGTTATACCTATTTCCATTTATTTAACATTTATTTCCATGGGCTGCTTTAGAAGATTTCTGCTCAGGTAGCTCCTGTTCAAACTCTTGATGACAGTTCATCACCTAGTGACAATTGAAATAGAAGTGAATCCTTTCTAATATTGAATTGCTTTCATCTCTGTCATGTCATTGTGCATGCTGGTACCCCTTGCATTGCCACTTTTCTTTTCCAGGTATTGGCGTGGCTTGTTGTTAAACCTTATTCCAATTTGTTCCCCAAAGCTAATTTTTCAGAAAAGCTTTCCTGACACCCCCTACTTCCTGGTCTAAAATAGCCGCACCCCATCACTTGGTAATCTTACCTTGTTCTGTATTCCTTTACCGCATTTGTCAGTACTTGGAAATCACATGTATATTTTTAATAATTCCTCGTCGGTTTCCTTTATGACAATAGAAGCTCCACGAAGCAGAGACTTTGGTTCATTCCGTATCCCAGGTCCATGGACCGTGCCTTGCACATAGTGGGTACTCAGTACATATTTGTTGAATAAATGGGCCATTTCATATGCACAGTGGATTTCATATTCACTTTGTGAGATGGGAGGAAACAAAATCGTGTCTTAAAGATGAGGAAACGGAGGCTCAGAGAGGTTGAGTAACTTACCCGAAGCCATGTGGTCAGCGGCAGCAGGGTAGTCCTGAGCTGGGGCTGGAATAACATCCCCTGACTCGTAGGAGAGTGTGGTTCCTGTGAACGCACAGCGGACCCGATGACGTGCAGTAGTTGTCTGATGGCCTGGGCTTTTGCTATAAGATGGAGCAAGAAGTCACACCCACTTTTAATCCTCTGAACAAATGACGTGAACTTCTGTGACCACCATTTTCTCTTCCTCAGATGAGAATTAAAGTCTCACAAGGGTATCACGAGTATTGTGAGACCAGAGAGTTAAAACCTATGAGCTGAGAAAAAGGCCCTACGATATATTCTAAAAGTCACGTTAGTCAACCGTTACGTTAGTGAACTGGAAACAGAAATCGCCTATAAAGTCAGGTTTTCTAGCTACTATTTATATTTGTGGTTGCTTTGCTGCCTGCTTTAAACTAAAGGCTACAAGAGGCTTTCTTTAATTTGTTCTTCTGTTTGCATTCAGAGACCCAGACACAGGGCTTGTTTTCTAAATCAGGAGATGAATGCATTTGTTTTGGAAAATAGTGTGAATAATATCTTTAATGATCCACTTGGAATGTTATTTTTTGTTGTTGTTACACCACCTAACCTTAGGAGAGAGAAGGCTTTGAGTCATCTTGTAAGTGACCTCAGGGAAAGAGACGTGTGGGATGGTTCCGTGAATTCCACACCATCCTAATCAGTCCCCACTCGGTGCGTGCTCTCGGCCTGTGCTGAGGCTGCTGTGGTATGCGGCAGATTCCAGAAGTCCAGGGACGAGGCCTGAGTAATATAGTGCCTGATGGCAGCGGCTCTAATTTGCATCAGCTCTAACAAGCTGGTGTTGAAACTGGATGGCAGGATGCCACGGAAGTCAAGGTCAGCATACTTTGAAATAGCGAAGTGAGTCATACAACCCAGGATTTGCACATACCCACAAGGGCTACCTGACTAACCCCAGCTCCAGTGAACATACCCACAAACAGGTTAAGTGCCTGTGCCCAGTTCTGTCCTAGGTGAACAGTGAGTGACAAAAGGAAACAGAATCGCATTAGGAGCCCCTCATCTTGCTGGAAGACAGGTACAGAGGGAAAGAAAAATTGAAATGAATAATCAAGCATGAAGTCAATACACAGAGAAGCCATTATGAGCTAGGGGCAGGTAGAAGCGTAGGCGAGAGGCCCGGCCAGGTGGAGTGAAGAGTATATAAGAGAGCAGAGAAGCAAAACTGAAAGGAACAAGACATCAGAGAGGTTTAGATGTGGACCTGGGCAACAGATGGGCCAGGTTTGAATCCTGATGTGCTGCTTCTTGCTGTGTGACCATGAGGGAGATAACTTAACTCTTTACGAGCCTCAGATTTCATAGCTGTAAAATGGGGATCGGGATGTCGTCAACGTTCCCCATTCATATTCAGCAAATTTGTTACCGAACGTGCCAGGCACTGATTTAGATCTGGGGATACAGTGACAGATGGGCTCTTACTCTTGCAGAGCTTGCATTCTGGTAGAAGCAGACAGTAAACAACAAAATAACAGAAAATGGTAAGTGCCACACACAGAATGTAAACAGAGAAGTAAATGAGAGTGCCTGGGGAGTTCCTTCAGATGTATGCCCAGAAAGGTCTCTGTATAGAAGGGACAGGGTCTGGGGCCTGAATGATAACAAGAAGCCAAGGGGGACCGTGCCAGGTGGGGAGTGCAAAGACTTGGCCAGAAATGGATTAGCATGTTCAAGGGCTGCCAGGCAACCATTGTGGCTAGATGGGGGTGGACAGTGGGGCGAGGGTAGGAGATGAGGTGGAAGAGGTCAATGGTGGCCAGATTGCCGAAGTAGAATTTTCACACAGTGAAAAGATCTGATCTTCACTTCTGATCAGTTTTGACAAGTGCATATCAAGACAGAGCATTTTCATTGCTCTACAAAGTTCCTTCCTGCTCCTCTCAAATCCCTCTCCCCCAGAAGCAACCACTGAGCTAAATTGGTGTCACCACAGGTTAGTTTTGATAGTCTAGAATGTCATATAAATGAAACCACGTGGTACATAGTCTTTTCCTTTCACTCAGCATAGTATTTTTGAGATTCGTCCACGTTGTCGCATGTATCAGTAGTAAATTTCTTTTTTTTTTAAAGATTTTATTGGGGAATTGGGGGAGAGAACAGCGTTGGGGAATCGGGGAAGGGGACCAGACAAGTTGCTGTCCTTTTGTTCTTCAGTCTAGTTGTGGAAGATGTCGCTTCATTGGCCCATGTTGATATTATCAGTGCGCTCTTCCTGGCTGAGGCAGATCGTTTGCTGGCCATTAGATGGCCACTCATGGTGGCTCATGGCAGCTCACGCTGGCTGCCGGCCACACACTGTAGCTTATGGCAGCCCACTGCAGCCCCGCTGCAGCCTACGCCGTCGCCGGCGACTCACGGCAGCCCAGCTCCAGGCCGAGCTGTTGTTCACCATCTTAGCTGTAGAGGGCGCAGCGTCACTGGCCCCCATGTGGGATCTGAACCAGGGCCCTGCTGCTCAGTGCTCGCGCTCCCAAGCCAACTCTTAACAGGCGAGCCACTCGGCCGGCCCGTAAATTTCTTTTTTTTGCTGAGTCTTCCACTGTATGGATGTACCACAGTTTGTTTATCCATTCACCTGTTATGGACAGACATCTGGGCTGTTTCCAATGGATTCAGATTAGGTTTGCATTTTAAAGCATCCCCTGTGGCTCTTCTGGAAAGAATAAAGTGTACAAGAGAAAGAGTAGGAAAAGAGGACACTGGGAGTTACTGGAGCCTAGGTGTAAGTGTACAGTGGTGGGTTGGCTGAGGGTGGTAACAGTGGAGGGGTGCAAAGTAGACAGTTTGCACCCTGTCTAGCGGCAGCAAGACTTGGTGTGTGGAGGGGTGGGGGTAGTGTGTGAAGAGAAGACAGAAATGAACCTAATGTCTAGGTTGTTGGCCTGAGGAGCTGAGAGGATGCTGGTTCCATTTACCAAGTTGGGGAAGACCATGGGAAAAGCAGGTGTTGGGTGGGTGAGACTCGATTCCACTTTGGGATATGTTAAATTAGGTATGTCTCTTAGTGGTCAAGTGTTGTTTTGATAATAAAATGAAATAATCCATTTAGCAGCTTGATGTATAGTATCTGGAACATTCTAAATGCTCAGGAAATGGTAGCTATTATTACTGCTAAAAGCAGTGCTGAATCATAATTATTGAGCTTATGAAAGAGACTAATTGGAGAAAAAGGAAGAATGAGTAAACAGGAGTAGTAGGAGATAGGACTCACTGGGTAAGGAAGAAATCCGTTTCTAGAAGGTCTTGAATTGCAGGTAGAAAAGTTTGAATTGAATCCGCTTGGTAATAGTGACTCTGCACTTTAAGGAGGAGGAGACACACGACATTTAGAATGCTAGCAAGGAGTTCTAGGTTTTGGCTACTTGCTCCTTTGCTAGCTGGGTGAACTCAGGCAAACCACCCACCCAC